GAGAGTCTTAGTTAAAAGTTATTGGTAGAGGAAAATCAATATTGGAATTTATAGTGATTATTTTCCATTTATAAGTAAAAATGGCCAATGAAAACATTAACGACCTCACTAAATTATAACAGAAAGCATGTCACTGAACACAGGGGGTGGTTGCCCCCATCCTTGGCTGGGGTTAGGACTTGGAAAGAGCACACAGACGACTGGCTGTGGTTTTCGTAGACATGAAACTTCTTCCCCAGGGGGATGTGCTTCCCTAATGTGACCACTCTGTCTCCTTGGAAGGAGCAGCTAGTCGCTGTCATTCATTCACTTATTTACTGACTAGTACAAGCTGCCCCACAGGTCTCATGCTCCCTTTCCTCCCTCTGCTCTGTCAACACGCACACAGATAAAGAGGAACAAGGTACCAGGCGCCCCTTGTCTCTGATCAGAGCACACTGCAGGTGTCTCCCCCTCACAGGGGTCCTCTGTGCTGTGTCCCCCAATCTGCACCCTGCCTGCCCGATGTGGCCTGCTGCCGTGAGACTTCATTTGTGTTTTGCTCTGGCTGCCTTGACCGACTTCAGGCTCTTGGTGTCGGGCTTACAACTAGATGTCAGTATTGCCCTAGACTGAAACCAGTCAAAGGCAACATGAGAAATAACCTACCAAGCAATGTATCTTGGGAAAAGGGATGCCAACATTCTCAACAAAACAGGAAGAAACTGAACCCAGCGATAAATAAAAAGAATTGCACATTGTAACCCAGTGGTGTCCATGCCAGGAATGCAGGTTTGGGCTAACATTTAAAGTTCAATTCAGATAATATCAATAGGATTGAAAATAACAAAAACTAAAATCCCATGATCTTGTCAATAGACAGAAATAGAGGAAAATTCAATATCCTTTTATGATAAAAACACTCAACAAGCCAGGAATGGGAAAAAATTTCTGCAACGTGATAAAGGGCACCTATGAAAAACCAACAACTGACATCCTTGGTGGAAGACAGGGTAGAAAACGTCAGCTAACATCTTCCTTGGGGAAGACCGAGGCAAAAAAAAGTTCTTATTATCACTTTTGATCTCCAAAGCATGTTTTTCATGTACAAATTTCAAGGGTATCTTTAATTCAATTCAAAGTGGGTCACTGATTATCAAAGAATTAAGATACAAAAGATACTTTCTTTGAATCAGACGAGAAATACTGATGGCACAGTTTGAGTGTGCTTCCCTTTATAGAGCTGGACTAGAAAAGCATCAATTAAAATAAAAGACATCTAAAATTATGAGATATTTCACACATTAGTGACAACAACTCACAGAAGGGCCTAACGTAAGCAAGTACAGCTGCTGTTGAACCGGGAGAGCCAACGAGAACGGCTTTATGAGTCATAATGGAATGAAAGAGCATTTTCCCCTGAGCCTGTGTTATTAGCAAGTGTAGTGTGTAGATGTGTGGAATGTTCTCTTGTTAGGCTGGCACTTGAAAACCCTCCCAGAGAGCTCCTGCAGGAAACCTTGGTACCTAGATACACTTATCACAAATTATTTTCCATGGAGATGAAAAATCTTTTCAAACTGTTTTTTTTTTTTTTCAATTTTTTCTTTCAGAACTCTCGCTTGGGTTGAGAGACTTGAGTGTCTTTCAGTCATTGCTATGAAATTGTTTCTTTTTTGTCATTTATTTATACCCTTCTTTGAAAAATTACAGAAGAAGGAACAATGGATACGTAATTTCAAACTCAATTTGAGTATTATAAATAGAGGCTTGGACAAATGGAGGGCAATTGCATTTAATATTTTTCTCAGGAAAAAGTGCAGAGGAATTAAAAATCCTGTCCATCAGAATTTTCATTTTTCTTCCAAATTTCTTTGCATTTCCTACCATCATCTCCTTTCCTTCCCTGCCAACAGTTTTCTTCTCTTTCTCTTGAACTCATGTTAGTGATTTAAAAAAAAAAAATCAACTTATTTTATTGGAAAGTCTTTCATTCATTAACTGGAAACAGGGAAAAAGAGCATTGAAGATCTGAATTCAAATTTTCAGTGCGCTTATCCTCTGTGATGTCAACTTGGACATATCACTAATTATAGCATCGAACTACTATTTCCTTATCTGAACTATGGGAATAATTCAACCTGTCACAGACCTACTGTAAGATTTAAAGCACTTTTATTTTCTTCTACCTATCTGACTCATTTGATTAGAATAATCTTAGAATTTCATAAGCATAATGCCAATTATTTATTTCTTTTCCAACCGAAGTGACATCCATTTATAATACTATGTAGCTTTTAGGTGTTTGGTGTTTTAAAATAAACACCTTTATACACTTAGGTTCATAACCAAAAGTCTAGTTTAATATAAAATGGGAACACCACATGAATGTTAATATTATAATTGTGATTATTTTTCCCATCCTTATTGAAAAGTCAAAAATATCACATATCAATATCAAGTTCATTGACATTTATTGCAGAGTCTACCATTCTCGAGAGAAACTGTGTCCCCTATGTAAGGACTCTGCCCACAGTGCGCCAAGACTTTTAGAACACAACACTAAGAAAACCGATGCCCACGCCCTTGACAGACACCTCACTGAACACGACCGTCACATGCCCAGCAAGCGTGTGAAAGAGCTTCCGTAGTATATGATGCCAAGAAAATGCAAATTAAAACCACCCGGAGCCGGCACTACACACCTGTCAGAGAGGACAACACCTGAAGCTCTGAACACGCCAATGCTGGGGACAAAGTGGAGCCTCAGGAACCACTCCCTGCTGGGGGGGACACAAAATGGTACAGCCCCTTGGAGACAGTTCTGGAATTTCTTACAAAACTAAACATACTGTTATCGTAAGATCCAACAATCACACTAGTGAGCATGTCCCCAAAATAATTAAAAACTTATATTCACAAAAAAAGGTGCAGGCAGGTATCAGCAACATATTCGCCAGCTGACAAAATTTGGACTCAATCAAGATGCCCCTTGGGATGAAGAACTGGAATATGCGGGGAGGCATTGCACTGATTTCGGGGTTCTGCCACTGAGAACAGCAGGGGAAGAAATCTACCCTCTCCCCTTCAAGTCAATATGGTGTCATTTCACACTTATTTCTGTTTTTACAACTTTTAAAATGAGGCAATGTCACCTATTATTCATACTTTTACTGCCCCGTTAGAATAGTTCCCTGTTAATCAGCACTTTTACCTCAGGCCACTGACGACACACCGAGTGTCTCCAGTACTGTGCACACTCGGTGAAGGTGCTGTTTACTTATTTTCATAAATTGTACAGAAAAAAAAATTATCACAAAAGTCAAAGCAAACTGTAAGTATCCAAACAAGCTGTTAGTGTCGAGCACTTTGGCAGGATCAGAGCATGGCGACAGCAGAGAGATTAAAAATAACCTCTCATGCCAGAGGGGCCCTCCCGGAGCAAACTTTATTATTTGAAAGTAGACTTTGTGGTTCCTGATTGGTGGATGTGCCACAGAGCCCCTGAGAACACATCTAAGCAGACATCTCTTCCATCCCCCCAGTCTGAAGAAGCGACTCCCGAATCGCACGCCTCCTTTTGCTTTGCTCAGTGCCCCTCCTGTCCTGGGGTCAGCCCCGAGAAAGGAGGCCGCTGCCAACTTGGGAAGCAGTGTCCATCCCAATCTACAGACTGGTCTGCGGAAAGAACAGGGACTCTAAAGGAAGACAACTGTCTCAGGTCGCAGTGTTTTCCTAAAAGCTTCGCCCAGGAGCTGGCATCAGCTTCAGTTAAGCAGCTTCAAAGCCTGTCACCTAATTCTGTGCCCTGGAAGCTTCTGTTCTCAAGGTCCTTTCAAATTCTGACATGCTCTCCAGGTAATGGCTTCAAAATAGTTTAGCTTTTCCTAAACGTTTTGGCAGTGGCTCCTACAAAGATCTTTTAAAATATTGTTTTATGTTCAAATTATTTATTTCTTGCAATATTTCTTTCCTTGTGGGAACTGCAAACTCCTGTGTATGAAAGGGTGATGTGGCTCTTTATTTTGCTTTTAACAACCTGAGAGGTGCAGGTAACTTTGGAGATAATCCCCAAGAGTCAAAGATCTCTGGCTGCGGAGATCTCTTTGGAGATCATCCTTGAAGAATGGCTGCTCTTCAAGGGCCAGAGCTGATTCATGTCACAGGTCTTGTGGCTTCTTTTGGAATCAGCACTGATTTCCTGAAGGGGTCCACCTTGTTTTCTGTTCTTTTTAAACCAGACATTTTTGCATAACTCAGACCTATACAGTTAATAAGCACCGGAAAATATTTTGAAATTTAGTAAGAGCAGCAAATCTTAAAAAAGTCTCAAAGGTCTGACTATGAAAATAACTTGCTGCTCGAATTGGGACAGCTACCTCTTTGGGAAAATAAAGTAGGTCTCAAGTATACAAAATCACGAAGAGGGCAGGACAAGGAGCTCTTACTGTGAGACCAACACTACGATCCATGCAAGAAAACTGGACTTCATCAAAATTAATACATTTGGTTAATTACATTTCAGAAAATGAAAAGCCAAAGGCTGAGAAAATATCTGCAAACCACCTATCTGACAAAAGGACGTGTATCTAGAATATATAAAGGAATTTTATGATTCAACATAAAAGGAGAAATTAAAATATGGACAAATGATCTGAACACATTTTTCCAAAGAAAATGTACAAATGGCCCATAAGCAAATGAATAGATACTCAACATCATTAATCATTAGGAAAATGCAAATAACTAGCACAAGGACAGGCTGCTTGGTACCCAGGGGGATGTGGTAATGAAGCACAAAGATAACAGGAGTGCAGGAGAGGATGTGGAGACATAGAAGCCCCTTACCTTGCTGGGGGCGTGTCGGACGGCACAGCTGCTTTGGAAAACAGCCTGTAGCTCCTGGAAGGGGCCGGCACAGAGCCACGGAGGCCCGGACATTTCACTCGTGGGCATATACCAAAGAGAAATTTTTTTTAAAAAGTAAAAGGGAAAACAGCCCTCACGTGGGCCTTACTTACTGAGGTTCCACTTGAGGCCCGTCGTGGTCACCTGGTGACAAGGCTGTCCAACAGGAATAAGGCCGCACCAGTCACCTTCCAAGCCAGTGTTCACGTTCAGCGTGTGCTCGCCCTGAAGCCGAGAAAGAGCGATGGTTCAGAAGGGGAGGGAAGGCATGAGCATGGAAGACCGGTCACCTCCGCCATTGTGTGCACTTCAGGGGGTCACACACTTCATCCGACCAATGACAAGATGTGGTATGTGCTGAAAACTCCCAGGAGCTTCCACCTGATTTAATCCTTACTGCAATCCCACAAGCCAGCTTATTGTTAGTTATTACTTTAACGTTTGAGCAAAGAAAAGCTTGTCGAGAATCTGTGTGTCTATAACCACACAGAAGACCAGGGTGGGATCAGAATTCCTGTCTATGCCTGGGATCCTGAACCCAGCTCCTAAGTTTCAGAATTCATTGTCCATCAGACCAGAGGTTAGCTTGGTTCCCCTCTCACAGAAATGCTAGGGAGAAACACTCCCACCAGGAGTGACAGAGCATCTGGCTCCAGGAACCAGCACACCTCCTCCACGCTGATCAGGAAACTAATGTCTTTTGCCATGTTTTCAATTTTCCTGTTTAGAAGAAGGTTAAAGTGAAATGAATGCTCGCCCAAGGCTACAGGGTCTGCTTTCAAATACAGTACTGGGAAGCTCCTCCTCTTCACAAAGTCATGATTCTCCATTTCTACTGTATTTGTTATCCTTAGGGTGTATGATCTTTTATAGAAAGCTACCTCAAGCCTTTGTGGGGAAATACCAAGGCTTGCATACACTTGATGTATTTTTCATAATTCATACAATTCTGAAGCAATATGTTCCAAAGGACGTGCTTTCATTTATTTTATATTTACTAGATGACATATTATCCAACGAAGGAATCTAGCTCCCCTATTACTTTCACTCCAACTCCGCCATCTGTGTTGTATGCTGAGAGCTTCAGAGAACTTACTTTGCTACATGCAAGGTGAGTAGGTTCCCTTTGTCTTAAGTCAAAGGCTCCCTTTTATTAGGGAAATAATTCTCCAGATTATCTGTGACCCCTTGAAAGTGAATAGAAATTCATTCAGATCTTCACTACATCTGCAATTCATACATAGATTTCTACCTCAATATTCAGTGAGATAGCATGCATTCAATTAAAAGGGCTTAAATAGATTCAAACCCAAAAAGATGTTTCAAGGAAACACAAAGTTCATCAAAACTTGGCATCTCCCACTGGAATTGCGGTGCAGCACCCACGCATCCTGCGATAGCACAGATGGGCTCAGGGTGCAATGAGAACACGAGCCGGTAAGGAAACAGAACCAGGGGAACCACAGAACCCATCTGTGCAAACTATGATCAATGCAAAGCAGTAAGACACTCTTTCTAGATCTTTTAACCAGAAACTTGTTCTCCCACAATCTTCACTAGCTCAAATTCCTAAAAAGCAAGCATCTATTTCCTTCTAATGGAGTTACTCTTGATTATCTCCATTATTATTTTTAAAAGACACTTTTTCTAATAACAAACTAAAAAAATTATGTGTATATAAATATACATATTGCATCTAGATGTGTGTGTAAGAGGCCAGACACACATGCGTGTACACACTGATGTGTCTGGCATGAGGGTGAGGAGACGGCCCTGACTGGGGACTACGGGGCAGCAACGTATCAGTCCACGAGGATTCTTGCTGGACCAGAGACGAGAATGGCCACGAAACAGCGCACATGATGGACCCAACCGCGAGAGTGAATAAAAATAACAAGTGCCCTTAGATACAGTGGTGTGCGGCTTACGAGTTCCCTCACTTTTCTGGAAAAAAAAAAAAATCGGGAAAATGTAATAATTCTAAATAGTAACTCAAGAATGAGAATAATTGGAATACATCTGTGGGAAGACTCGATTGCAAAATGGTAATGGGCCTTGTTTTTGAATAGTAATTTTTGGTATTTTTCTTTTAGTATCAATTTACAGCAAAAGCTCAGAAATTATCATTATAGAAATCTCCACAGATGACAGCGTGGAGGTGTAATTGTCAGAAGGGAAGGGAAGGAAGAATAGGAGAAAGTGTAGCGACTCTCATTTTCTCATTTTATGTCATAGGGATCAAGAAATCATGCCGAACTTGTACATTTTTAAAAAGAGGGTTCCAGATTTGCTCCTGGCCTGGGGAACTGGACTCTGGGTAACCTGCCCAAGCAGCAGGACTGGGAGCTGAAGTGACTTTCTGCTCCCCTGCGTTACTCACAAGCACTGAGCCAGTGCGGAGACACGGCACTCAGCCCCTCCACCCATGGAAACCACCAGAAGAACACGGAACCAGACCACAGAGAAGCAGGAAACAGATCAGACACCTGAGCGGGTAGAGGAGGTGGGGGCAGTGTGGAAGCTGGGGCTCCCTGCAGCGAGGCAACAGATGAGCGGGGGTCAACTCTGTGAAGGGAGGGCAAAGAAGGGAAGGCAGGCCCCAGGGCCAGGTGTGCAAAGGCCGAGGTGGTGGGGTCAGGGCCTCCATGGCTGGGGCGCCAGGCTGGAAGACAGGGGACCCGTGACACTGCAACTTGTCAAGATCTACGAAATGCACAACAGCAAGGAATGAACCCTAATGCAAACTGCGGCCTTCCCCTCCCGGCAGCGCACCAGTGTTTGTTCATCACTTGTAACAAATGCACCACAGTAATGCAAGACAACAGGGGAAACTGAGGCAGGAGGGGTACATGGTAATTCTGTTTAATCTGCCCAATTTTCTATGAAACTAAAATTATCCAAAAAATACAGTCTTATTAATGAAAAAGTTACTCTTAGCGACCTTATTGCTTCTCTTCCTCTAAGTGGACTGACAGCCAGGAGAGGGCAGGTTTGAAATGTTGGAGAGGAAAAGGCACTGGGCAGAGAGCAGGCAGCGCTTCCCAGCAGTCATTTCCCCCTTAGACTGCCTTTTCCTCCTAAAAAAAACTTTAAAAAAATGTAAGTCATGAGCTGCCTTTATTAGCTTGTATAGAATTTTCCCCTAAGTTGATTTCCATTGAATTGCTTGCCACATGGATTTGAGTTTTACTTCTTCCTACTGCCCTCTATTACAGGAATAATTCTTTCTGAAGATAGAGATGCTAGATGTAGTACAAACTATCACCCATAGGTGCCAAACACAACACACTTGAACAAATTCTGAGAGAGGTAACAAAGCCTCATTCATGAGGAAGGAGCCAATGAGGGCGCGGTGGAGAAATTCTGACTGCCTGAGGATGGCTCTGGTTTCGGCCGCAAAGCAACAGGAAGGGGTGGCATCTCATGTGGGTAGATCATGGCTGGACCCGCAGGGATCCCAGCCGAAAGCACGGCTTATGGGAGCCCTTATCAAAGAGGGTCTCGGGCCTCACTGCGCTGTCTTCCTTTCAGTGCCTGGAGTTCATGACTGTGCTTCCTTGAGGGCCTTCTCCCCTCTGTGGCCGCTCACTGGCTCAGCAGCAGTCAGCTGGATGTGTGGGTATGTTTTGGGCGCCACATAAACAATAAGGAAGGAAATAAGGAATGATTTTTCAGTGTGTGGGTATTAACTCCCTAGGAGAAGATTCCTCATGTTCTATCACATAATGCAAAGGAAACAGCACATACACCTGCTAAGTTTTATTATCCCGGGGAGAGGACGACTGTTCTGAAATCCACTGATTTAAATGACACAGCAGTAAGTTTTCCTTCCTAGTCTTGCTATATATTCACTGCCTCCCTCATTATAATAGATTTAACATAGCCGGAATTTTTATCTGAGAATAAGCTAGTTTGTGGGCTTGAGAAGACACAGGTCGGTTTTGGTCAATAATCAGTTAACTTCTCTTGTATCAGAAAGGTGTTTAACCGTAGTGTGAATGGTCTCTGTGTTCATAAAAATGTAAATTTAGCTTTGTATGGTAAAAGGGGAGCAATATATTTTTCTCCCAAGTCCTTAAGTCTATGTGACATCTTTAAAAACCATGAGCAACAAAAGGAATTTGGTGTCATTCCTCAGATTTCTTGATTCATAATATATTCTAGCCTGCATGTGATCTGACACAGGCGGGCAGGCTGACACTAAGGAGCTTCCCTCAGGATTTATGCTATGACTGGAGACCAGAGGCACGAGAACCCGCACCTCCCCCACCAACTTCCACCTGCTCCTGTGAATCACTGTGCAGGCCCGTCTGGATCCCCATTCCGAGCTAAGATAACTGCCTTCAAGTCAAAGGCAGTTCTGTATAGTCAGGATGGAAGAGAAATCAATCAGAGAGCTTGCCTTTACAGTCGTGGTTATTTTTTAAGATATCAACAACCTTAATGATGTTTGCAATGACGATTGAGTGAAAGGTACCAGAGATGGTGTTGGCACCTGAGCTGGCAATCACACTCGTGATCAAGTTAAGGACAGGGAGAATCACAGGATGATGCCACGTCAGAGCAAAACACAGAAGACACATAAGGAAGGGGAAGAAATCACCGTCACTTTGTATTAACCTCTCGCTGCCAAGGACCAGGTCCTGACTGAGGGCAATGATCAAGTTCACCCTAGATTTCGCTTCTGCAAAAACATCAGTCACTGAGGCATCTGAATCCTGCTTACACATCCTTAAAGACAAGAACTACACCAAGCGTTACGTCAAGAACTTTAGTGTGGATCTGACGGAATATGTAACAACTTAACATGGTCATTCACAAAGCAAGCCGGTGCAGGAAGAGCCCGGATGTGGAGCAGGTACCAATATTGGTTCACAATATGGATCATCACTCATCAAACTGCTGTTAACGCTGGACTCACACCCAGGGGTTAACAGCTGAAATTCCCGGTGAACCGTTGGACCCAGGGGTGGTTGAAATAGCGCTGTGGGCTGATTAAATAGGGGCTGAGCCTCTGGTAGCTCATCTTTTGTTACTTTGTCCAGGTACTTAAAAAATTTATCAACCAACACCGTAGGAAATTAAATAGCCTGTAGGAAAGAACAGTGAAAAAGCAGATGGAAGGACCTGCCCTGTATTTACCGGAGAGCGGCTCCCTCTCCTGCACAAAGACAGACTTGGCGCTGCCTGGGCTCGGCTGTGTCTGCTGACATGACTGACAGCAG